TGGTACCACAGATCCATTGGAGGTGGGGGCAGATGGATGCGAGCTCAACGTCGACGGAGATGCGAAGGCAGAAAACCTAAGCGTTGGCGATGGTGGCGTGGCTGCGGAGGTAAGGATGCAGGCATGCGTATGAAACACGGAGGGCCAACCATTTGGTTTCATAGGGGCGATGGGTGCGAGGAAACCAACCGCTCGCCTAGATCTCCGTGCCTGCCACAACCTGTCACCACGCCTCGTCGCGGGGCATGCGCACATAACCTATGGCCGTCCCCTTGGAAAACGCGTCGAATGTTTTGCCTCCCCGAATGGGCCACGACCTGTCATAGGTAAGAGGGATACAGAGCTAAAGACGCTCTTACGGCCTGTCTAGGCCTAGGAGTTCGAGGGTTGGCCCATCGACGGGTTTCACAACCGCTCCGGGCACATTTAGAGTAAGGGGTGGAAAGCGATGGGCCCGCTAGCGGCCAATACCTGGGCGCACGAGCGCCGTGGGCATCCTAGCCCATGTTCGAGTCTCGGCCAGATACGATCCATGGTTTTTCCTCGAAGAAAGGTAGAGAGCCCTCGGGACCGATCGGACGGATCCAAGAACTATATGGATTGACCATTGAGAATCTGGAGTCGGTCACTAGCTGACCCAAGCCAGACTCCCACGAACGGGATGCCAGGGCCCCACTCGAACTAGCCCATTAACAGCTCACCGAGCACCATGATTCGTCCATAGGGGAAATCATGGCACGGCTCAGTCCCTCCGTTTTTATCGGGAAAAAAACGCTTGAGGGAAGATGATCACGAAGATGAGCCGACCCTCTACCGGACCCCTGCTACGGGCGGGGGCTCGAGAAAAGTTGGACTCACAAGGAGATCGAACACGCGATCGTAGAACGATAGACCCCCATAGGGGTCGAAATCAGAAAAGACCTTTTTCGACCCACCAAATCTCATGGCTATACCCCCGAGGGGTCTGATCATGACGAAAGGGAATCGCCGTCCCCAAGACACGCCGTGGACAACAAAAGAAGGTCAAGGCCCTTAGAGTCCTCCCATTCGGAAAAGCCTTTGAATAAGTATTCTACTCCTCCGCAGGCTCAGGGGCTACTATCGGGGACTAATACTAAGGTACCCGAAGAGGAGGAGCTAATGGTCATCAACATTGATTCATCCGAGCAGTCAAGAGCACGACTACAGCTCCAACCGACCCCAGGTGCGCGAGCTCCACCTCGCCCGACCTCTGGGGGCGGGCTCCACCTCGCCCGACTCCGAAGCCATGGACTCCGCTTCGCTCGACCCTTGGATTTTTGCTCCACCTCACTCGACCCCAAGGACGCGGGCTCTGCCTCATCCGACCCCAAGGCCACGGGCTCTATCTCGCCTGACCCTTGAGTTTGTACTCCGCCTCGTCTGACCCCGAGGCCACGGGCTCCGCCTTGCCTGACCCTTGGGTTTGTGCTCCGCCTCACCAAACCCCGAGGCCATGGGCTCCGCCTCGCCCGACGATGACCCATACCGCTGACAACCACTCTAGGTCCAAGCGTATGGGCTTGGATCAAAACTCTGACACCATGGAAGAGACTGGAACGCCTCGATGTAACCCGTGGCCATAACGGGTCATACCTGAGGGTTCACATCAAAAATAGCGTCGAACATGCCAGTGTTGTTCTGCCTAACCCTCGTACGAACGATGACAGGCGCGTCAGATCACCACGACGTCTGTCGGAATGGGATGGAATGCCATGACCGACAGAAGACGCCTGCGCATGGCGCCAGTGAGGGATAGGGCCATGACGCGGAGCTGTCTCTATTGACATCTATAGGATCGGCAGGACCTGCATGAAGGAGAAGGACCCGGCGATCCTGAAGGCCTTCTTCTCTCTCGTTCTTCTCTTTTCCTCTGTTATAACCCGTACTTTTTCTTGGCTTATAAAAGAGAAAGCAGGACTCCCATGAAGAGGATCCAATTCAATCCGATTGGACCATCGAGATCCGATACAGATCGGCACAAGAGCACGACACGAATGCACAGCTGAGCAGCGATCGAGCTCTCAGCACCAACTCACTCTTTTCACCAGAGACTTGGGATCATTTTCCTCTCTCGCCCGTTTGTAACCCCTACTATAAATTTTCAGTGCTAGTAACACGAGCAGCAGCGACGAACTGAACGTAGGGACTTTCTGTCCGAACCAGTATAAACCTCGTGTCCTCTCAGCACACCATCCAGATCAGACGCACAATACTAGAAATTTACTTGTCGGTGGTAACTCGGAACAGCACAGCGTTGACCCCATCCCTCCCGTGTCCCACCGCTAACAAGTCCCCAGGACATTAACTCGCGTCTCCTCGCGCGGCGCATCCGAGAGGAGAGAGACTGTGCTCGCTTGCTGGTGCATCAGAGAGGGGAGAGACTGCGTCGGGCCGCGTATCCGGAGTCCATCGCGCCGGAGTCCGTTGAGTCGTCGAAGTCCGCGCATCCGGAGTCCGTCGAGACGCCGAAGGTCGCGCCGGAGCTTGCGCCGCCGCCGAGTCGTTGGAGCTCGCGGCGGAGTCCGTCGAGTTGTCGAGCCTGGCTCTGTACCGGTGGAGGATCGTGTCGGAGTCCATCGAGCAGGACGCGACGCAAAACCGTGGATCTTGCAGCTGCACGGACGTGTGAGAGGACTCCAAGATGGAGCACTAGAACACGTGAACCTAGAACACATCAGTAAAGTTCATGCAGGCATGCAGCGTGCGCCATGCAGCTATCCGCACAAGGGAAAAAATTCGGAAAAATTCCCACCAATAAAGATCATGCAGGCATGCAATGCAGCTATCCGCTCAAGGAAAAAAAGTCGCAAAAATTCCAACCAAGAGAGAGATCGAACCCTGGACTTCATGACTCGGGACTCACCGCACTAGCCAGCCCAGCTATGAAAGATTGTTGAATATGTGGAACCTGCTATCCTATTTAATGATGGAAAACAGGAAAAAGTACACCATAATTGATCACTCCACATGCTAAATAATGTCCAAAACGACTTGAATTTTGAGTATAGAGGGAGTCCAAAACGACTTGAATTTTGAGTATGGAGGGAGTATATTTGTTGCTCTAACCATCACAAGCGAGCGCCCGTCGCCTAATGGATAAGGCGTCTGACCGGGCGTGACTTTTTTATTTTTTTTGTTTACTTTTATTTTTAGCAAAAAAACCCTTTATTTTTTGTTTACCTTTATTTTAATAAAAAAACCCTGCCCCACGTAATGGGCATTTTTATTTTTTGTTTACCTTAATTTTTAGCAAAAAAAACCTGTTCCACGCAATGGGCTATTCTGTAACATGAATTTTATTTATTTTTAGAAAGGGAAGATTTTATTTTGTATATCAACTTGACACATGGCCTTTTATTTATTTATTTTTTTGAAAAAGAAAGATTTATTTCATCCCAAGATCAGTATATCGAGATGACACATAGCCTTGGAATAACCTCCCAGCCTCTGCTTAAGTGATAGACACACAGCTTAAGATCGAAGGCACATAATTTAAGATTAAAAATATTCTAAGCATACTCCTATGACATTTAATCCTAAGGCTCAATCGCCACTCAAATGACCAGGTAAAGATATCGTTAGACACTTGCTCCAGTTGTCGTGATGCCGCCACGACCGTATCCTAGATTAGAGCATCTCCAAGAGTTTTCTAATTTTCTCTCTAAAAACTTATAGTTTAGCGACTCTAAAAAGATATTAGAAGGGAAAAATATAGTTATCTCCTAAAGATTTTAATAAATGTCCAAAGATCGACGCTGCCTACTCCAGCGACTCGTTCGACCGCATCGTCGCGCGCGGGCACTACTCCGAGCGCGCCGCGCGGGCGTCTTCGGCACCATCGTCGACGTTGTGTGGCCCTGCCACTCCAATCGATCTGAATAATGCACGTCTGCTTGCTTGCTTCCTGAGGTGCTTCCAATCGATCTGAATAGTGCGCTTGCTTGCTTGCACGTTTGAATAATGCACATCTGCTTCCAATCGATCGAGGCATCCATGGTTGCAGTTCACGGAGGTGGTGGGGAGTGTGTACTACATGGGGCCGGAGGTGCTGAAGCGAAAGTACGGGCCGGAGGTGGACTTCTGGAGCGCCGGCGTCAATCTCTACATTCTCCTCTACGGCGTGAGCTCCGCTGTCCGCGCGAGCTCGGCAGCGGCGGCGTCGGCAGGCCTCGCGCAAACTCCGCTGGCCGCCCGACGGCGCCGCCCGCGGGCGGCGGGGACCTCCTCGTGGCCTCGGCTGGGCTCGGCGCGTTCTCCACCGACGACGCTATCTCCGGCGTGGCGCACGTCCTGCGACTTCTCTCGTATCGCGCGCAGACGTCGCCCAAATTCAGCGACGCCGCCCGCGTTGCCCTGATGGCGTCGATCACCTTGGTGCCGCCGGCAACTGCGATATCCTCCATCAGTGTGCTCGCCGGCGACGGAAACCTTCTCTGCACGGCGACACAAGATGGCGCGAAGCAAGAAGCCACGCCAAAATGACGGCGGCAAGAGAGAAATCGCGTGTGGAGACGGATACGCGCGACGGGAGCGGCGCTTAAAGTTACGTGGGAGGGGGAGAAATTTATCGACTACTAAAAGATTAGAAGTAAATGTTAGACGTTGTTGAAGAGAAGTTTTTTCCTATCTTTCTAAAAAAATAAGGATTAGAGAATATTTAGAGAACTCTTGAAGATGTTTTTATTAATTTTATTTACTCTATTTTTTTTAGTAAAAAGAAGATGCTTTTATTAATTTTATTTACTCTATTTTTTTTAGTAAAAAGAAGATGCTTTTATTAATTTTATTTACTCTATTTTTTTTAGCAAAAAGAACTATTACATCCACAGGGGGATTACCAACGCACGATGACTGTCTCACCGAAAGCGAAATCGGTTGCTATAATGCCATGTGAGACTGCACGATGACCCTCCTTTTGGGTTGCTTGCCTTGTCTGTTGTCTTCACTTCAATCACGCACGCTACGGCCAACTTCCGCAGCCGTCGTGCTGCAGCTGCACGCTACAACCGCTGCTTCCCGCTGGCCTCGCCCCTGGTAGCAGCATTCTCGAAGCTGCGCCCACAGCCACCACAGCGAGGCGCTTTCCCAGTCTCCCTTCCTTCGTCTCCCTTGACTCTGCTGCTCTCCTCTTCTTGCGCCCGTGGCCCCGTGGTCTGTACCTGCACGCGCCGCCGCCGCTCACCAGACCCTCACCTGCTTTATCTGGTAACAATGATCTTTTGCTTTGCAATTTCTGTCTGCCTTGTGATTTGTCTGTGCGCCGAGCACCCGTCGTCGTCGACGGTGGTACTAACAAGAAGCCGAATCGACCTTGTAGTATTATATTATTTTTATTGTTATAATAACTAGGATATGCCGTTTAAGTGTGGGGATTTTTGACTCTACTAGTGGATTGAGGATTTGATTGATGGGACGATGATGGGTGTCTGGGGGAGAATTCCGCCCCAACTCCCAATTCCCAATTCCCAAGCAACTGATTAGGGGCCAGTCGGTTCTTCAGCTTAGTAGCAGCTGGTTAGGGACGGCAATTACTCTACTGTGGGTGCTTATTTTCCACCCCAAAATGGGAATGGTTCTTGAGGAGCTACATTATGGGTCGCCCTCTGTTTATGCTTTGCTTAATTTTAGGCTTTCTTGACGACAACTGCAAAGCACGCAATTGACCTTCACGAGCAGTTGGCTTGCATCAATTACTAGGCTTAAGTAACTTTAAGAGGCTTCCTTTAGCTTAATGACTCGATTTTGTGGTTATCAAGTTCATATATCTTGCTTTGTCGAACTTGTGTGGTTAATTCGCAGCTGTTACTAGGCTGACCGAATTTTATGTTAGTTTGATTCTGTTTTGTGCTTGGTTCACCATATTGCTTCATCGCAACTAACTAGTAAATTCTGTTAAGATATTTGATCCATCAGGCTCGTTTCATTTTTTAAGGATACACATCGGTAGCTGCTAGCTTATGTCTGACAAATCACAATTCCATCAGATGGAACAATCTTGTGCGCAGATTCTATTAGTGTACTACTTTTTGTGTAGTCCCTCCATCGTTTCCTGCAAGAAAAACTATAGTGCATGGTGTATATTAGAATCTAGTATCTAATCTGATTTATTAGATTGATCTGTTCTCTTTAGATCACAAGGTTCAGCCATGGAATGTAACCCAGCAAGGGATAAGGAATTCCCTGGTTCTATGTATTGTGCTAGTACTAAAAAAATACATACCCTCCATATGCCCTCTCCCTCTCTCTCTCTCTCTCTCTCTCTCTCTCTCTCCTTGTGCATAATTTCTAAAAACTACATGTGATATATTTCTCAGCTGTTGTGACTTCTTTGCTTCAACGACTAAATGTGACTTCCTAATGCTTTGGAACTTATATGTTACCGCAGATCATTTTATTATAATGTGGGGTGAGAGAACTCATCACAAGCACTGGCATCAAGGTCATGATTCCTCTGGGAATTCCAAGGACAAAAACCATGATAAAAGGCAGCCAAAATTTATACCAGACAATTATAGCTCCGTCGATGAGGTAACCAGCAGTAACATTTCCTGATGCGATCTTGCTCATATTTGAAGTCTAAACAAGTTTCTCATCTGAACCTATAATCTTTCCTGTCATCCTTGATTTTGTTGGTCGAATCTATTGAACATAAGTTAATGCAGAAACAAATACATTCTTAAGCAGAGGCAGGAGTAAACACATTCCATTATCTTTTAAAAAATGTAATTCATAGAAGGTCAAATTGAGGGCTTTAGGTGGCCTTACTACCCTAAATCTTGGCACTGACAGTTTTTAAAACGACAATCTAGTATCATACAGTGTATACCTGTCAAACGGTCATAAGTCTTTGGCCACAACATCTACCAATTTGGTTTCGTGTAGTCAACGCTGCTCACATGCTTCAACCGCCCTATTTCAACACAATATGTTTTTTTTGTTATATGCCTCTGTGTACATTTTTAAATTCATTTCATATTTGTGAAGGTTACTACTGCACTGAGAGAAGCTGGTCTCGAATCATCAAATCTAATTCTTGGTATTGATTTCACCAAAAGCAATGAGTGGTCAGGTAGTGTTATTTCTGCAATCCCATCACGGCTGTTTCCTTCTACTTCATGGCTTTCTAGCAGCTTTACTTAAGAATTAAGATCCTCCTGATTATAAAGAACTGCTTGTCTGAATTCTGCAGGCAGGCATTCCTTTAGAAGAAAATCTCTGCATGCCATTAATGGCACCCCAAATCCATATGAGCAAGCTATCTCTATAATCGGGCGAACACTGTCACCTTTTGATGATGATAACTTAATACCATGTTTTGGATTTGGTGATGGTAACTATTCACTGTTCTTTTGTCGTTTTTCCATTATGACCCGAATTTAGGCAATTGGCATGGTTCATACGTGACGTGACGAGTTAAATTCATTTTGTAGCTTCTACACATGATCACTCTGTCTTCAGCTTCTACCCGGAGAACCGACTCTGTCGTGGCTTTGAGGAGGTTCTTGCAAGGTATCGGCAAATCGTACCACATTTGAACCTTTCAGGTAACAACCCCCCCCTTCTCTCCTCCCCTCACGTGCCGTAGATGCTGTAATACCTAATAAGTCAGAAGACCAAAACATTTCAGTTTCCAGAGAGCCCAGACTCTAGGATTTTCAAGTTTCTGAAGAGAAACAAGTCCTAAGCTCCTGATAAACTACTGTGCAATAGCCTATTTGTGCAGTCCTCAAACTCGTAGCGAAATATTAGTGTCCAGCAGCATTACTGGCAGTACTGGTCTGTGGTTACGTGTTGCTTATTCCTTGGTTCAACTGTGTGCAGGACCAACTTCTTTTGCACCTCTTATTTATGCAGCGATTTCTGTTGTTGAAAATAGTAATTGGCAATACCATGTCCTCGTGATCATAGCTGATGGACAGGTAACACGTTCATAATAGCATAGAAATACTTAACTTGAATTATCAACATATTTGACCTGAGCAAAAGTTGTAGGTGACTGCTGCTAGTACAAATACAAATGATGGAAGATTAAGTCCACAGGAACAAGCAACTATACAAGCAATTGTTGATGCTAGGTAAAATTCAGTTCATCATTTCTTAGAACTTGGTCTTGTGGTATTACTAAAGCCTATTTGGTTGTCAGCCACTATCCTCTTTCAATAGTAATGGTTGGGGTGGGTGATGGACCATGGGATGCGATGCAGCATTTTGATGACTGTATCCCTGAAAGAGCTTTTGACAATTTCCAGGTGATTATAATACTATACTCTATGATTTTTAAATTCCAAAACATTTATGTTCCACCACTTATAGCAGTACTCCGTGCTTGCTATTGTACCTGTACCTGTCACTTTTTTACATAAAGTTGCGAGCATATTGATTATTCCAAGTAAGAAAAAATATACTGACCTAAATTAAATTTATTTTCTGCCATTGCCTTCTGAGCAGAATAGACTTCAGTTTCTGACCTGTTGGTCTTCTGAGAATCTTACTGATGAACTATTGCAGTTTGTGAACTTCACTGATATTATGTCAACAAGTAAGGATATGTCAAAGAAGGAGGCTGCATTTGCCCTTGCAGCTCTTATGGAAATACCTTCTCAGTATAAAGCAACTCAAGGCCTCCGACCTCCAGAGTACCTGTTCTTACTCAGTTCTTTGTGGTCCTGAATTAGTTTCTTGGCATTGCTGCCATTTCTTTTCCATTTGCTGATCTTGTATGTATTGTCTTATCTGAACTAATCTCCCAGAAAGCACGCACAAAGGATTGTCTCTCCTAGGATTCTTCCTCCTCCAAATAAAGTTCTTGAAAATGATAATGCTGGAGCTTCACATCCTCCTCAAACCGCAAGCTCGAAGTCAACTGGTATTGGCAAAAGCACTGCCGACGAGCAGGTACTTTGGGCCAGTAACTCTTCATTATATTTCTCAAGAGTAATGGCACGTTAAAGTATTAAACTATATCTTTACCGCCTACAGGTATGTCCCATATGTTTAACCAATCCAAAGGACATGGCTTTTCAGTGTGGTCACCTGGTAAGTTTTCTATACACATTCCATCTCCATATGCGAAGTATCGAAGTTTGAAAGTATGAAATGGTAAATGATTATCCAATATGACAATATCAATTGCTAGTGAACTCTCCCAAATGAACTAACCTGAGATTTGAGAACTTTGGCCAACCTTTAAAGATAATAATTCAATTAAATCCTTGGGGATGAGTTATTGAAAAACCTTTCCTTTTTCGCAAGACATGCAAGGAATGTGGCCCAACACTATCAACGTGCCCATTGTGCCGTGCGCCAATTACCATGCGTGTGAGGCTCTACTCTTAAGACGGCGTGGTGTCTGGAGGGATGAGACCAAACAGTAAGGAGCAAGAACTTTAGAGCGCAAGGACTTACTACAATCTTGAGATGTGAATGTCGTGACAACGATGCATGTACAAAAACTTCTCCATGCTTATTCAGTAATGTTGTTGACGAGTAATTTGTATCAATCACATGTAAAATTCTAATGTTGTCTTGTATTAGTAGCAGGGAATTTTGTGTCCTTGTTGAATGAAATACCACCAATTGTCCAGCAACGATAGTAAACTCCATGTGCATTTGGAAGGCACTTGTGAAATACAGAATAGATTATTCAATCTTTGGATTCTGATGTGAATCAATAGTTGAGTAAAATTAGGGTTCTCTGTCTTCAACAAAGCTGATGGTTCGGAATTTGAAGTCATAATTTCAATCTGTTAGTCGCTGAATTCTTACTTTTGGTAGTAGCAGAATTCTTACTCTCATCGAGAGAGGATAACACTAGGAGTTAGGGTAATTTTCTGGTTTATTTCTCACACAATGTCATACCAACCTGAAGGGTTGGGGATACGGCTGCTAGCCAGCTAAGCATATGCCAAGATGCTAACATGCTAAGATGCTGTCCTAGATGCTAAGATGTTGTCCTAGCCAGTCGAGGATGCTGTCCTTGATGGGCAGCAAGACCACCATATGCTGCAGTCCCACAAAGACCAGCTGCAGCCCCACAAAGATCAGCCAACACATAGACTTATCCCATCACAATCGTGCCAATATCTTTATTTGTTGACACCAGACAGGTTACATGGGCAGTGTATCACTGGTCTTGTGATTATTTGTTTTTGTCTCTACACGAAGCACAACACCTGGAGGCTGGAGTAATGTTATGAGCACTAAACAAGAGATTGTTGTATTAACTTCTCGAGGGACGGTGCACAATAGAGGTACATAAAAAGGTTACTTAACATGGATATTGATATAGTCATATAGAGTGAGACCTGAGAGACCTATCAAGGGGAAATCGACTTGGCTCATGTAATAGCTTAGATGATTTGCGTGTGTTTTCTGTGCTCGATGTTGAGCTGTGAACCCTGTTAAACTGGACGAATGCTGTAAACGTTTTGTCTTGGTTAATGCTAAGGCTGGGGCAAGGCCTAACTCTAAAAAAATCAAGGGGAAATCGTGATGGATTCTACAGACTACATGTATCTATCATTCCCATTATGTATCCGTATCTTGTCTCCTCGCCAGGTGGGATTTCAGAGTCCAGCTCATCCTTGGATACATCATCATTCCAGTCATCAGTATAATGCCGACATGGACTGTTAGGATGACACCAACATGGCATGGGCACAGGCCACCTGCATTTCAATGCAGTAATAGTTTATCCAAAACATTGTAACTGGCTTAATAGTATGTCTCAGGATGCCTACCTGTTTAACCGGGCTCTGCGATCCCTGTCCAATTTCCAGAAAGAGGAACTACTGTCCTTCAAACTTCACCAGCCTCAGTGTCGAACACTGTAAATAGATTTATCACACAACATTATGCTTGACTAAAAATTGGAATCACCTCATTACAGCACAATGGATGTGGTGCAGCATGGACTCAGGAGCATCAAGAGTTCCCCATGGCACGGACCCCGAGAGCTTACCTCTGTCTTCTCGCTCTTGGTTGTCTGGGAACACACCACTAGTTGCAGCCACAAAACGGTCCAGTAAACCCTCAAATGGCATGGGTGCCAATGCCACAGCCAGCTTTGCCACGATGGTGTCTGCACAGCTCCACTGCTGGTCGTTGATCCGGATGCTGAAGGTAACTGCATTTTGTTCTCCTTGAGGACCGCACTGAGAGAGCAGTCTTTCCATGCTCCAGGTGTCCGCCTTCCTGACATAGGCACACCGATAACCGAATCTGGTAGGATTCTAAGAACAAAACAGCCTGCAGGTGGATAAATATAATTATATTGGATAACACAATCTAGCAGATACTCATTTTTTTTTTGTAAATTCATTCATGATTGACTAGTGTAAATATAATTACAAGAAAGTAGTACCTTTTCGTTGGCAGGATGCCCCTTCAGTCAAAATGGCATTCATCAACACAACCTTTAGGACATCACAGATATTAATGAACCTTTCGATGTCTCAAGGTTCTCTGATGTAATACTGAAAAGCTCAGTACATATGGCTTCATTCCCTTATCTATCATTTCTTGGAAAAGATCTTCAGCCTTAGCTATTTCTCCCTGGCTACAGTATCCATTTATAAGAGCTGTGTATGTGTAAACATCAGGGGTGAGTCCTTTCGCTAACATCTCATCAAACAATCCCCGTGCTTCCTCTAGATATTCTGCTTTGCACTGTCCATCAATCAATACTGTGTAACAGGTTACATCAGGTTCAATTTCCATATCTTTCATAGAGCTCAGCAACGCCTTATGCTTTGTTCTAAGAAAAAAGGTCCTCCTTTCTTTAGTAATGCCCTGCCACCCTTGTTGTAGGGTCTCCTTTAGGTGGCCATCCAATAGCACTGTGTATGCAACCACATCAGGCTTGATTCCTAAATTTATCATTTGAACAAATAATTCACATGCTTCTTGCAACCGACCAACCTTGCAATAACCATTCATCAGTACAGTGTATACAATGACATCACAAAGTCCTCGCTCAACCATATCGTGGAACCATAAGTGAGCATTGTGCATATCTCTTGACTGACAATAAGCTGATATAAGCTTGCTATATGAAATTACATCAGGAACAACATTCTTTTCAAGCATCATACTACATACAGTTGATGCCTCTTGAACCTTTTCATCTCTACAGAGGCCATTTATCAATTTTGAACATGACAAGTGATCCACCATATTTCCTTGTTTAGCAACTCTAAGAAAAAGTGTGTAAGCATGGTCAGTCCAGCCTGAGTGCAAATACCCACAAACCATAGAACTGTACAACACATTGATATTATCTATTCCCTTTTCTTCTACTATATTAAATAACACCTCTGCTTCGCTCAAGTTGCCTCCTCTACAAAAACCAGCAATAGCTATACCATAGGTGAGTGAATTAGGCTCCAGCCCTTGATCCATCATGTGCTCTAGAAGGTCAAATACCTTCATAACAAGGCCATTCCTGCTATATCCACTGGACAATATGTTATATGTAACTACATCTGGTTTTATATTTGCCTTCAGCATCTGCTCAAATACTTGCCAGGCATTTTCTGTTTCTCCTTTCAGACAGTAACCGTTGATCAGGCATGTATAGTGGATTTTGTCTGGTACCAAACCTCCAGCCATCATCTCATTCAGTAGCTTAACTGCCTCATTCATGTTCCCAAGCTTGCAATAAGCATCCATAGCAACGTTATAAAGCACGCCATCAAGATGGACCCCTAAATCTCTAAATTTCTGGAAGTGCACAATAACTTCAGATATCATGCCTAACTTCCTGAGGCACTGTAGAAGGGAACCAACAATGTAACAATTTATCTCGATGCCATGGGATACCATGTCTTCAATATGATACCATGCCTTCTCTAGGTTACCCATTTTGCAATGACTATGAATGAGATAGCTATAGCCATATAGATCAGGGGTAGATCCATGTCTGGTCTTGATCTCCAAGACCTTTTCAGCCTCCTCCAGTTTCATTTCTTTGCATAGTCCATCAATTACCATATTATATGCGAAGGCTTCAATTGGAACCCTCTCTTGGGATATCTCTTGTAGAACAGCATATCTTCTTACCATGTTATAAGCTAGATTATACTTTCCACAATCACAAAGGCCAATTATAAATGATGAGTATCCATGTACATCTAATTTCACTCCCATTTCAATCATCCCAACCCACACTTGGAATGCTTCGTCTGCTTTGTTTGCTTGAAAAAGCGATCTAGTGACTATGTTCAATGATTGAGCATCCAGTGTCAACTGAAAGCACTTCATTCGATCATAAGCTGCTACAACCATATGTGAATCACTGCTCTGAGATACAAATTTTAGCAGAAAGTTGCAAGCCCAAAGCGTTGGAACAAATCCAAGTCTGCAAAGGTGACAAAACATCTCTACTGTTTCTTGTGCATCGTGGCGGGTGGTGTATGCCTTGATTAAGCAATTGACTGCATATGAGAGTACGTGAGAAGTGGCACATGTTTTTCTCAAGTGATCAATGAGCGGTAAGATTTCAGGGCCACCACTACCAGTTCCCGAGAGAATCTCACAAAACAAGGAAATCAGCATCTTCCCCTGGAATGAATGGGATAAAATTTGTATGATCTCTGAGTAGGCTGAGAAGTCATGGTGAAAACCAAGGCTATGTGTATCTTTAAAGTAGGCAAATGCAACTGCAGGTTTCCTCCTTAGACAGCGGAGTGTCTGCACAACACTGTCAGAGGTCAAAGACCGGTGTGATTTCTGGATAGGCTCATTGTCAGGAGCAAAATTCAGCTTTTCATCACCGCTTGAGTCATCACACTGAACTGAAGTGGCGATCGTGGAGTAGGGGCAAGAAGGAACTTCCGAGGGGAAAAGCTTCCTGCGCCTGAAGCATTCAGCAGTACATCTGGGCCACCGCTGCAGGATCATTGGAGATATAAATCTTTCTGCTCCTCCTACGACCCATTAACCATCACTGATAAAAGAAATATGCCTGAATCAGAAAAGAAATAGACAAAACATATCAAATTTTCAGAGAGTTCCCATTACTGAATAGGCAAACGTATTATTTGATTTCAATGCTGATTGCACATAACAGTTAAACCCAAGAGATGATTGGTAAAGAGACAGAACTTCTTGTGAATTCATTCATGTATCTCCATATAATACTAATGTTACACTAAACCAGCTAATCAGTTTAAACCCACCAAGAGCCTTCTCTTGTAACTGAGGAAATTAAGTACTTTGAGAATTTGCAGAACCAGCTATTTCCTGCATGCACTGTTTGGAGTTTCCTAATCCTGGCTAGTTCACAGCATAAGTCCTTAAAGACCAGCCACACGAGAATTTTGTTAAGGTAATGAATAGTGACAGATAGGAAGGGCGGGCCTGGTGCAAGCGGTAGAGTCTTACCGCCTGTGACCGGAAGGTCCCAGGTTCGAGTCGCGGTCTCCTCGCATTGCACAGGCGAGGGTAAGGCTTGCCACTAACACCCTTCCCCAGACCCCGCACAGAGCGGGAGCTCTCTGCACTGGGTACGCCCTTTTTTAATGAATAGTGACAGATAGAGCACCATTTCTCCATGAGGAAATTCTTTATAAAGTTGGTGATACAGATGCAAAGCGATGTATATCTAACATTGCAACATGTTATTGTTCTTCTAGTATGGTGACAATACACTGGAAACATTTGAGAACATGTTTTTACGATCAATAGCAAAATTATAATCTGCATACTGAGGCTAGAAATCTTACTAGAATTAAACTAAATCCGTGGTCTTTTTTTTCGCTCAACATAGTTCCAGTACTATTCTTCGACACATCTTTCTTAGTAAGATACTTTTCATGTAAAAGGAACTTTGAAACCGAAACAATGGAGCTAAGCCCAATGAAGAAACAAGGTGGCCATGGTCATGCCGCACTGAAACAAATTCGGTATAATTCAAAAGTAACACTAGGAACTGACCTCAGTATAATCTTAATCTGCAAAAGAACAATACAGTACTGTGTTCTGCTAGCAGTGCTACTTGATCAGACAGTAATAATCCTAGAAATCATACTAGACTGATTCAATTCTTCGAGTGCATATGTAGACAGAAGCCGGGTGTGCAAGCAATCAAGCAAGCGATACGTCACACGACAGAGAGGACAGAGGGGGGAGGAAGGGGAGGAGGGCGGCCGTGCAGCGGACCTGGTGTGGAGGCGAAGGGCGGCGCTGCAGCCGTTGCTCGTTTCCTTGCTTTCCCGTGCGCCGGCCCTAATCCTCCATTTGCCGTTGGATTGTTGTGACGCGCTCCTGTCTCTCTCTCTCTCTCCCTCCCTTTGTGTGTGCCTGCCTCGTGGGCCATAGGTGTCAGTAGCAGTGATGGGTGGACAAGGGGTTGGCTCAGCTGGATGGGTTTGTGGAGTTTCTTTGAGATATCCTCTCTCAGCCTCCGCCTTCCTCCTCGGCGTCGGCGGCCATGCTGCTCCGCCTCCGCCCGCCGCCGCATCCGTCCACCGCGGCGGCCGCAACCCTCTCGTCCTTCCTCCCCTCTACATCCTTCCGTCGCCTCATCCCCTTGCCGCGCTGGCGCCCCCCTCCGCGCCGCCGCCTCTCCGCCGCCGCCACCGCCGCCGCCAAGGGTAAGGCTCTTCTTCACAGCTGTGACTGATGCTGGAGACAAAGGGAGAAGAGGTGCTTACTGCCAAATTTCTGCTGTTGCGAAAGATTAGAGCGGACGGTTGGATCCGCGCCAGGAGCGGTACGACGTCATTGTGGTCGGAGGTGGCCATGCCGGCTGCGAGGCCGCCCTTGCTTCGGCTCGCCTCGGTGCGCGCACCCTGCTTCTTACGCTCAACATTGACCGGATTGCCTGGCAGGTCTGCCCTGAACTATTTTGCAGTTCTACAGTACCTTTCTAGTGTTCGTTGGCAATGACGTAGTAATAACTTAGTCCTTTGCATCAACAAACCATGCTTCTTGATCCTTGATAGTAAATATTCTAGTCAAGTTCATGGCTGAGATTTTTTTGAACATTGACTCCCGATGCCATATAGTAAAAAAACAAGACCCTTATATGAAGAATTGATTCATCAAACCTTGTAGCGCAGGAGTTGAGCAATGTGAAATCTCTCCTGTGATAGCATGTTTATAGGGCACAAATTCTATTAAAAAAAATGTGATGTATGTGTATTTGATGAAAAGAAAATAGGATAATGAAAAACTCAAACTGTTCCAAGGTATGAATGTATGATAGTTGTCGACTAAATATCGTCGGCAGTCCACCGAGGGGTATACCCACGATGGTAGATTGATCGGAGATGGTAGATTGATCGGAGAGGTGCGCGTGAACAGGAGCAAGATGGTGACAGAGACACAAGATTAGACAGGTTCAGGCCGTCAGCTCGACGTAATTACCTAGTCCTGTGTTCTGTCGGTTTGTATTGGCTATCGTATGAGATTGAATGTGTTTTGAGGGGGTCCCCTACCCGCCTTATATAGCCCGGGGGGTAGGGTTTACGTGCCGATCAGGTCTAAGTCTAATTGGGTAAGATACAATCTTTACAAGGAATCAAGCAGATCGGCATATCCTAACATATCCTATGCTATCTTCAGGGTATCGCCAGGATGCCTTGCGGCGTGCGCCGAGCAGTGCCGTGCGCCGCAAGTCTTCATCTTGTGAGCAGTGTTATTTTTGAAGATTTTTACCGTCGAGGATTTGGATTGCCTGCGCATCCCTTTTTGCGCAAGCTTCTTGATTACTATGGGATTACCCTCATCCATCTGAATCCCAATAGCATTCTTCATCTTTCCATTTTCATCAATATATGCGAAGCCTATCTCGCTATAGATCCGCATTTCAATCTTTTCCGATATTTCTTCCACCTCAAATCCTTTGCTGGCTCCAAAATAGTGGGCGGGGCATATCTTGTGCTGCGGGATTTGATAAAGTATGTTGCATGTCTTAGTATGCTATAACTGTAAGGAATCCTTTGTCAATGAATTGCATGTAAATTTTAATATTATAAGTGTGATTCTGCTTCCTAACTCATTTTCTGCACTATCCAGCCTTGTAATCCTGCTGTTGGTGGGCCTGCAAAGTCTCAACTTGTCCACGAGGTAGATGCCCTTGGTGGTGAAATTGGAAAAATCGCTGATAGGTACGAGTTCAAACGTCTTGTTGTCTGGAGAATGAATTTATCTATGAGTTCAAATGGCTGAGAGTTCAGACTTCGATTACTAGTGAATCAACAAAGATATCTTAGCATACTCATTGCATCTTTTTCTGATAGGTGCTACCTGCAAAAGCGTGTACTGAACAGCTCAAAAGGCCCTGCTGTACATGCACTGCGTGCTCAGACTGATAAGAGAGAGTATGCAATAGAGATGAAGAACGTTGTGGAAAGGTCAGTGTATACTAAGTTGCTTTAGTCATAAGTTGCTAACTTTACTTGGATTTGTAATCTTGTCTGGCACCACCAAAAGTAGTTAATGCTACATAAATTCTGAATATGCTTCATTTTGCTGACCTCATTTAAGTTATGTTAACTTGATCACCATTTCAGAGCTTCTTAGGTTGTACTCACAATATTGTGATCTTCTTTAGTTTGAACTATATCAAAATGACACCTCACAAATTTGGCATTACTGGATTAAGACCATGGTTCTGCATGGCTAGTCTTAAGTCCTCAATTTAGTAAAAAAATCTCTCAAGGCAGAGGTAAATATTTTAATCTTCTGACATAAGAGTTTATTATTTTTTTTGCCTGCCAAATAATTGAATAGAGTTTAACTTTTGTCATTGTATGCTGACAGTGGCGGAGCTCGTCTAGTTTCACGCCTAGGGCCACTATCAATTATTAAAGCATGCATACCGCCCACACCGAGTCAAAATACCGATCGCACTGAGTTAAAATACCATCTGCATGAGATCAAAATACCAATATACAACAACAACAACAACAACAACAAAGCCTTTAAGTACCAAACAAGTTGGGGTAGACTGGAGTTGAAACCCAGCAGAAGCAATCAAGGTTCAGGCACGAAAATTGCTCTAATCAATTAATCATTCATTGAATTTTTAGATTAGAAAGAGTTCAACATTTAAAATAACATTAAAATAGAACTTGATTGAAGAAGGGGAAATTTACCAAGTTCCAAGCCTCCATGGCTCAGGTGCTCAGGTGTCTTGTCGCATTCTGTGGGCTGTGGCCCTGCTCTGCTACGGTGCTGCCTCATACCGTGACGCGGCCAAGGCGAGATGCAGGTAGCCAGCTCGCCGCTTGCCCGCTCGGTGCTCGCTAGCCAGCGCAGCTATGTCTAGGAAGTCCACTCACCCAACACGGAGCGCAGACAGCCCCTAGTGGCGGACGGCGGCGATGGCGGTCAGGGATTAGCCGGAGTAGGGAACTAGTGCAGCACAGACTGCAGGAGAGGGAGAGGAGTTGCGATTCGGCGGACACGACGGGGACGGGAGCCGCAACCCGTGACTTGGAGATGGCGGCGCTCGTGGAATCATGCCGACTGGAGTCGCGAGGGTGGAGGCGCTCCTGCTCTCTCTCACTGTGACTGGGCCGATTGGAGTAGAGGATTTAGCCGAACGCTTTCCAATTGGCCCAGAAATTTCCATACACTATAGAAGGTATATATTTTGGGCCACGCCTAGGGCCATGGCCCTAGTGGCCCAAGGCCCATATCCGCCCCTGTATGCTGATGTTTACTGTTGTTGATTGCATGTAATTTATTGTGATAGATTTCACATTGCTTATTGACTATTCCATGTACTATGCTTCAGCACAGAAAATCTTTTCATTAGAGAAGCAATGGCTACAGAGGTTTTGATTGGAAAAAATGACAGCGTTGAGGGTGTTCGCACTTTCTTCGGCATGGACTTTTACGCACCATCTGTTGTACTTACCACCGGAACATTCATGAGTGGTAAGATTTGG